GCCTTCTAAATCAATACTTATACCCCTAGAACAGGTCCGGCAAGGTAGTAATGATTGTATTTGCTGATACTAAAGCAACTAAACGTTTGATCAGATATATTAAATCAAATATTAATATTTCATATCAAGGCGCATTGATTGTACTTTTAAATAGATAAAATTACTTTCAAGAAATGTATCATTAGCTGATCACGTGCCTTTATTCTGACTTTATTCTCGACTTTAAGAGTTGTAAAAGAACTTGTTAAGCGGACGTGTATTGGGACTTTTCGAATTATGGTCATCAAGCGATAGGTTCTCCATTTACAGTTGCTCGATTGAGAATGAAGGTATAATCAGCTGTTATAATTAGGCCCATGAAAAATACAATTTGGGAGGAAAGTAAACCCTTGGGGTCATAATTTAACAGGTTTATGTGCAAAAATCGTGAAGTAACCTCCATTATTTTGGAATCTAAATAATTGTCCAGACTGGATGAAACGATATGTAATTCAATTCCAAACGATATGATATAATTAATGAATATTCTAACTACTTGTGTGTCATATTATCTGTTTTTGACTTTCAGCCTTTTATAGATGTCACTTGTTGACGCACATAGAGAGAACACGAAGTACACTGACATGAGAGATCTGACATCTCTTATCTGATCCTACTTCCCACATAATACAACAAGATGAATATTAAACAAAAGAACTGATGCAAATATCTGACATATCTTGCACATGCATACATAGTATAATGTAGTAGTACCCGTATTAGATAAGCATGAAAATGCAAATGTCTCAACTTAAAACTGTACCTTGAATGAATTCATTGAGTTAATGAGTTACTTTTGATTAATCTAATGTTGTGAAAAATAGATCCTTTGTTATCAAAAATCCGATTATAATTTGGATTCGACTTTGTAAATGATTTCAATGACTAAATAGCCCACAAATACTTTTGATTGTGCTTGAAAGGAAGGCAAATGAATGAACATTTTAGATACAGTTTTTTTTCTTCTTTTTTAAGCATATGATCAAAATATATCTGTTAATAAGCTAATAAAAAAACAGAATTGAATCATGTGCTAAGGGCTGACGCGCATGTATTTCTGTACTTCTAATAATAAGTGACTTTTGCTATTCACAAAATATGAGAAACAATACTAATTCCTGTATTCCATTTTATAAAAAAAATTCCGTACATGCACCCTGGCCTTAAGCAAAATATGCTTTTAATTTTTTGATTATATACCTAAAATCTCAACATATTTAAATTGTCTGCAATATTTCATTTTATTCCAAAACTATAACTGTGAATTGCATAAAAACACAAACATCGATGAAAAAGGTCACATTCATCGACTGAGAACAGATTATGCATTGTATTTCTAATTTATAAAAGCGCACCGTTCATTTTTCAAAACTGGCTCCAATATGGAGCCAGTTTACAAAGCAGCTCGCTCCATTTAACACAAGCTTTTTAGGGACACTCTAGCAACTGGAAATCATGGGGTACTGTCTCCCGATCATTTTGATGCATCTTATTCTTCTTGAATTATAATTTTAATAAAATAGAATAAGATATTTTATGCATCTTATTCTCTTATTATTTGCATGAAAATTAAAAAAACTGAAAAATATACAATACAAGGATCAAAAAGTTTCTTACCGTTGGCTCTCAATTTTATAATAAGAGGAATTGGAAGCTCAAACTTTAACATAAGACAGGATAGTTAGTTTGCTTGAAACTGTACGAGTTTCATATAAATTGGTTAATTGGTAGTGACACAGAGTCAATTCATATTTTCAATGACAATGTTAGGTGGAGCAGCGTTATATATAAAATATTTGCTGAGTTGTGGTTCTGGAAATTTAACGACATCGTTTAAAACCTCTCATAAGAAGGCCTTAAACATGTGTTTTTGGATCAAGTGGACATACATAGAAAGTGCATTGCAACTGGGAATGAATATTTTGAATGAGAATGAATATTAGCAGAAAAACTAATTAAAAATGATTAAACTACAGTAGGTTGACAGATGACACTACTTAGTGTTAGAAATTTCCAAAACTGCAGCTTAGCACATTTTTTTTATAAAAATCGCTGCTCCACCTAATTCAATCATAGAAAATATGTATTGACTCTGTGTCACTACCAATGAACCAATTTAAATGAAACTCAGACAGTCTCAAGCAAACTTACTCCCCTGTCTCATGTAGAAGTTTGAGCATCCGACTCCTCTTATTTTAAAATCTAGAGCCAAAGGTAAGAAACTTTTTGATCGGCCCTTGTACTCTAATTTTAAGAGATTTAGTTTTTTTGTAATGAAATCGCTACAGATTGTAGAGGTACTACATAACAATACATCTACCAACTTTTATATCATATAATCTAAATGTGTTAAAGTTACGGTTGTCATGGTTACGGTGGTGAGGGGTATGCGGAGCAGTTCCAGGATATTGTGATAAATTGTTAAAATTTAACCATTTGAAATAGTGTTTATTATTGTATTTCTTATCAGTTTTTTTGTATTCTTGCTGCCATGGTATTCTCTTTAGTATAACGATATCATTGAGACAAATCAGAACTATGTAATGTCATAAGCATAATCAAAGAAAAGGGTATATAAGTGCTAAGAAAAAGGGTCCCTGGATTAATAGGAAAGTCAATAGTGCACCTCCACAGTCAATGCTCCAATGCATAAAGCAAAGAAAACAAATCTTACAATTGAATGTCTTGACATTAACCTTTTTGTACAATGGCTCATATTTCCCCGATAATGTCCCATTGGACTTCTACAATAATGAATATGTTAAAGCAATATTTCCGAGAAGTTCAACATAAAAATGAGACTCGGCTGGAAGCCAATGTTATCAGCAATCTTAGAGACTGACAGCAAAGGTTTTGTCAGGTCTTTGAATCTTTGGTCAAAATGCACCAACAATGTTTAGATAAAGGTGGAAAATACATAATACTGGATAACAGTAGTAATGTCAAATGATGAAATAATGTTACAGTACTAATCCTTTTACTTTTGTGGTACATAGTTTGATGCATAATAGCAACAGACGACGGAGTGCCAAGATGATATGAACAGGAGAAAAGAATTATAAAACATAATTGTGACGCTGCTCCACATACCCGTGACTCCTGTTACCATAACAACCATAACTTTTTTATTTTGAAACAATTTGTCATGGCAGTTGCAGGATAAATTGTTACAATGTCATGCTACAATCTGTAGCAATTTCATCTCACAATAGGTAAATCTAACGAAATTAGAGCATTTGTATCTTTACTTTCCGGACACCCTGTATTTCAAGATTTTCTGCAAAACGTCATTATAAGCCAAAATTATAAGTGTAGATAGAATTAAAAGCATGAATAATGATGAATCGGACCACGTTCATCAATTCAGAACAGATTATTCATTGTATTTCTGTTTAATAAAAACGCACCTTTCCCAGTTGCTAGATTGTCCTTAAATATCTTGTGTTAAATGTAGTGAGCTGATTTGTAAACTGTGTTTTGAAAAATGTGCGGTGCGTTTTTATTAAACGGAAATAATGATGCATAATCTATTGTAACTTGATGAACGTGATCTTATTCATCGATCTTTATGCTCAGAATGTAATTTACCTTGAATAGTTTTGGTATAAAATGACGTTTTGCAAAAGACTAGAAGTTAAGATTTTATGCATTTTCTCAGTTTTTTCTCATTTTCATAAAAGTTGTACGAGAATAAGATGCATAATGCACATCAAAGAATGATCGGGAGACAGTATTTCATCATTTCCAGTCGCTAGATCGCCCCTAAATAGCTTATGTTAAACGGGGCGCACCGATTTGTAAACTGGCTCCAACTTGGACAACTAAGTGTAGGATAATGTTGAATACCTAAGGTTTTGCTAATTAATAGTACTGGTCATTAACGGTGGTAATAATACTAATAACGTCATTTCTGCGGGCAATATAGTGAAATATTGGACCTTGGGCCTTCAGGCATCAGTATATAACATTTGAAGTAAATCCGTTCAATGGTATTTGAGTTATCAAAGATTACCTTTTTTATGAAAAATGGCAGCCATTTTGAAATTCAGCTAACGCCTTTGAAATTTCTTCTGAAGCAGATCTCCTTTTTCCCTAAACATCAGTATATGGAACCAAATCCATCCACTGGTATTTGAGTTATCATTGATTACGTTTTTTTACAAAAAATGGCGGCCATTTTGAAATTCAGTGGTCATCTTGAAAATGTCTTATTGAGCAGAACTTCTTTGTCTCTAGACATCAGCATATAGAATTTGAATCACATCCGTCAACTGGTATTTGAGTTATCAAATGTTACGTTCTTTTATGGAAAATGACGGCCATTTTGAAATTAAGCTACCACCTTGAAAATCCCTTCTCGAGCAGAGCTCCTAAGTCCCTACGCATCATCATGTAAAATTTGAACCAAACCCATTCAATGGTATTTGAGTTATCAAAGATAAAGTTTTTTTACGAAAAATGGCCGCCATTTTGAAATTTAGCTGCCATCTTGAAAATCCTTTCTCGAACAGAACTCCAATGTCCCTAGGCATCAGCGTGTAAAATTTGAACCAAATCCATTCAATGGTATTTGAGTTTTCAAAGATAACATTTTTTTACGAAAAATGGCCACCATTTTGAAATTTGGTGGCCATCTTGAAAATGTCTTCTCGAGCAAGGGTCATTTGTACCTAGGCAACAACATATAAAATTTGAACTAAATCCATCCACCAGTATTTGAGTTATTAAAGATAATATTTTTTTCGAAAAATGGCCGCCATTTTGAATTAAGCGGCCATATTGAAAATTTCTTCTCAGGCAGAGGTCCTACACCCATAAGGCATAAGCCTATACAATTTGAATGAAATCCGTTTACCGGTATTTGAGTTATTGCTCGGACACACGAACGGACAGCTTTTCTATATCCCCTCGAACTTCGTTCGGTGGGATAATTATTAAATTATAGTATGTTTACAGGTTACCTTCTTAAGGAGTATCCCCAACAGCCTGACTGTCTTCCGTAGCAGTTGTACTTTGAGTCGGTTGGTTTGCCTCCTCTCCGCCACAGTGTATGTCTTTATTTGGACCATCTGTATTGTAATGAATATGGAGTTGAAGAAAGGATGGCATGGTACGCATGTTCATATAATAATTCAATGATTGATGAGTTACAAAATGGCAACTACGCTTGCTACGAAGACTATATGTATACAAACACACGGCCCAGGTCCACCACATGTATAGCTACATACGGCTGCTACATACATGTATTTAGATGAAATAAAATTCCCACATAGCTAGGCAAGGTGTGTCCAATTCCAGCCAATCAGAACAGAGTATTCACATAATGAACAGTGTGTGAAATATCAATAACACATGCAAGGTCACTAGTTAAACAATTATCATGGTGATGAATGGACTTTTTGCATTGGATTTAATGACTTGCCAACTTGACCCTTGCAAAAAATTCATTGGAAATGTGTTCTTTTAGGGATTCCGTTCCTTTTGGATGATTTTGTAGAAAAAATTGCAATGTGTGAAAAGAATTTAAGTCCAAGACTCAATGCATAGTAGCTGCTTCATTCCACTCAGGCGTTGTTTCCTAAACTTTGCATTCATGTTGCGCGGTCATGTAAAGGTTCGGAAACAACACCTTTATGGTATGATTAAGCAAACAATGCACTGAATCCAGGGCTTTAATCCTTAAATGAAATTATCTCTGACTATGGCAACTACGCTTTTAAATGTAGACTTACGGCTGCTAAATTAATATAGGAATTGTATCTAGAGTATGAATTGTATAAAGAAAAACAAATACTTGTACAATAATTGACCAAGATTGCCAATATGTGTCTCATTAAAAAAAGCAAACCAAATCTGAAATATTGGCAAAACCAAATCGACAAACGGTTAACTTTTACCGCTCCTTATAAAAAGCACATACCCTTAAATCTGCATTATGATGAACGTAAGCCAGATTTGTCGGGGGTACACAACTAAATGCTATAATATGCGTTTTCCCATACCAGTTACCTGTGTTTTAGAGAAAAAATAAGATTTATGGCCTTGTTCGCTATCATGCCATCACATACCCGTGTCCTCTATCAGTCAAAAAAGTTTGAATCAAAGCTCCCCACAAAAATCCAAATTTACACTAACTCAACTATATTCTTGCTTTTAGAATGCCATCTGTTTGTCTTATCACTCCAGCGTGGTCCCGTCACGGTCTTTGCAGGGCATAAAATGACGTCAGTTATCCTAGAGAAGTAAAATATGAGACTGCAACACGATTATGATAAATGCCGAAATCATTACAAATAATTAAGAGTTCGCAACTCACTTATAGCGTGTTTATTATTCCCGTATACAACGTAGCTTATGAAGCGTTTGATTATGTCATCATTTATCGCGCAGCTCTATACGTCCATAAGTGTGATATTCTGACGTTTATACGACGTTATAAGAATATCACACTTATGGATGTGTAAAACTCCGCAATAAATGATATCGTAATCAAACGCTTTATAAGTTATACGTGGGAATAATAAACATGCTAAGTGAGTTGCGCGGAATCAACCAGATTGATCCGCATTCAATACGCTGGTAGTTCATGCACTCATTCATTAATAAAAACATTCAAAACACGATTTACATTGGATTTTTATTCAGCTATTGTCATGCTTATAAAGTCTATAAAGGAAGCATAGAGCAGAACATTTTTAATCGCTCAGATTGTAGATAATTTTGGTGTTATAAATGATAACTTATCATATTCAATCGATCACTGGATGATTTATAAATGTAACATGATTTTTCCATGGTTTAAATAGGAAAATTGAATATGCTATAGCTACAAAGAGAATCAGTTGAAATTAAAATGATCGAAGTGTCTGCAGAACCTTAAAATTTAAGGCGGTTTAGCCGAAATGCTAAAGAACCTTAAAATTTAAGGCTCTCTAGCCAGGGCCTAAAATGAATTGCTCTTTACTCGCATTTGCAGCCAGTTACAGCACTTAAACCAGAAGAATTTTATGTTCTGTTCAATTTCCAGTTTTCAAATGAATCGATAAGGTACTAATCCTGTAATATTGCCTAATACGTACTCAAATCATTTCCAACTTCTAATTTTGAATCTTTTTTCGGAAAGGAGTCACTGAGCAGCAATTCGAGATTCACTCAAAATATTGTACACTTTGAAATATCACGCGGTCCTAACTTCGTTATTTTGAAATTTTGACCTACCGGATGCTTTAAAATCAAGGATTACGAGTCTCATACTCCACCGTTTTTCTTCAAACTTGTTCCATTCAAAGCATAACAAAAATCCCTTTCTTATGGTACATTATTCTCTTAAACAGAGTCCCTACTTTCAGCGGCATTTTGGTCCCCAGCTGTAAGAAGGCCTTCTAACAGCTGGCGACCAAACCGCTGCTAGAACGAGGGACTCTTTACAAGAAAGTAATGCACCGACAGAAAGGCAATTTTGTTCTGCTTTTAATGGTATAAGTTTGAAGAAAAACAGTGCAGTATGAGACTCGCAATCCTTGATTTTCAAACATCCGGTAGATCATAAATTCAAATTAACGGTCGAAGTTAGGACCGCGAGAATATACAACATTCTTAAATTATGGACATTCTTCATATAAAAATGAAGTTTATCTTTACAGAGAGATAGCTTCGTGTATGATTTCTAGGGTATTTCCTCCTCTGCCTATAATAATAACTTCTGAAAAGGGGATGGGTATTGAAATGCGATAAAGTTAAAAAACACATTTCCCATGTTATTTTCCCTTAGGGAAAACTCATGCTATCCATTGTTTTCAGCATGATTTTGGTCATCGAAAATTGATATCTTTAAAAGTAGACTTTCAATACCATTCTACTTTTGGAGATGTTTTAGTCCCCTTGTTAAATAATCTTTTTACACAATAAAAATCAGAAAAAGAAGATCATCTTTTGAGCAAATACGTTTAACATTCTGAAAAAATTGTTGATGTGAGGGTCCTTATTTACATTTTTTGAATTGTTCGATTGGTATTTTTATCATCATGGGGACTTCACTTGAAAGAAAACATATTGTTTTAATTAAAAACAGGTGTATTTATGCCCAGAAATTTATTATGGTGAAAGATATGACCGTCTAAAATCACTTGCCATACTGCACATGGACCTTTATATTTATATAATAATTTCAGATTTGTTAAGTATAATTGTTTTTTTTTGTTATTTTCTACAAATATTCTTTGGAATGAAATGAAACAAAATGACATACACACAATGTACTTAGTTTTCTCAATACCTTTGGTATAAGGAAAGTTAGCAGAAGTATCTAAAAAGAGGCAAGCCACAACAGCTGAGCTACTTTAGCAACTTGTTAAAATAACAGACAATTTGCGATCTCCCATTCTGACTCTCATCACATCCTTGTTTTTTCAACTAGAAATATATGCTCTGATTTAGTTGGTTACATTTTTCGTTCTGCTATCATCAGATGGGAGGGATACAAAATTTTAATTACGATGGTTGTCTTTAATGTATTGCCTTTATGTTGAAACATTACAAAGTTTTACAAAATAGACCTTTTCTACAGGGTGGTCCAAAAAAGTGTTTTAATATAGCCTGTTGCAACAGTTCACTTTTTTGGACCACCCTGTACTGTTGCTTTAAAACATTGAAATACTAACATAATTCAACATTGTATAAAAATTATAATAAAACTGTCCTGAAATAGTTCTGGAATGATAATAACAGAATAGGTTGTTACATGTGTTTCCTAGCTATTAGACAATCTGTTGGATATCAAATAGGTGATAGGCTTAACATTACGCACATTAGTCTGAGTCAAAGTGTTGATGCACTTTTAAAGTGTAGGTTTTGACACAGGGCATTGGCAAAACTTTACAGAAACTAATTTAGACATTTTTGACAATTGAAATAGGTGAGGTTTTAAATTGATGAGGCAAATATAAATAGGTGAGGCAAATTCAAAGTGGTGAGGCAAATTTAAATGTGTAAGGCAAATTCAAAGTGGTGAGGCAAATTTAAATGTGTAAGGCAAATTCAAAGTGGTGAGGCAAATTTAGATAGGTGAGGCTTTAAATTGGTGAGGCAAACTTAAATTGTTGACTGTTGAGGCAAATTCAAAGTGGTGAGGCAAATATAAATAGGTGAGGCAAATATAAATAGATGAGGCAAATTGAAATAGGTTGGGCAAATATGAGCAAGGAGAATCAATTTTTACAGAAAAATAAAATGTCCGAATTAATATTTTCTGTTTCAATAATACATGTATGAAACATTTCTCATAAGCCGCAGTGTTTTTAATGTTATTTTAGTACTACTAGTATTTGTAAAATAAATCTGCTGTGAGACGAAAATAAATAAAATAAATAAAATAATGGTGAGTCAGTTGCCTTGCCTGCCTCTTGTTTGAATATGCTCACAGGAATACTGTACTTCTATTTAATTTGACGAGCATTTTAATTTGACAGATCCACCAATTGTTAAAGTCCACCAAATGAAATAGCCACCAATTGTTCAAAACAGCAAATCTGCCAAAATAAGAAGCGCCAAATTAAGTAGAAGTACAGTAGTGTCATTCATTGAATTTTTACTGGAACTATTTAGATGCGCAGTAATATGAGATCATTTTTTTATCGAGCATCAAGGTTTCTTCTTTTTCACAATTATTTACTTGGAACATTGGGATCCGCCATAAACCTAGATAATGATTTTCCTTGTCTCCCATTGGTCCATCCCTATAAAAACAAATTGGTGGCTGAAGCCGGATTGGCTCAAGCTCCAAATTGATGTAACGCATACGCCCAGTTGAAATATCCTTCGTGAGCTCTTCATTGTTCCGCACAGCTGGGAATGTTGTCGATAAAAGGTATTTACTTCCACTATGGTTAATATTATCCAAAACTTGCATAATGTCATGTAATCTAAGATGTTGTAGAGTCATTCTTAATAGAACCAAATCATATGATTTATCCAAGGGGTCTTTAACGATATCTTTATGGAAGAATGACCAGTTAAAGTGGTCCTTGTATGTTTGTTTGTGGTGCTGGATCAGGTCATTCACAATATCTAACCCTGTATAATCCACATCTGTTCTAATTGTTAAGAACCTACCTGAAAAATAAAATGAAGATGCACTGAATTCAAGTCTCATTTGAATTTCTGTCAACAGCCAAATTAAGGTATGATGGGTAATTTCCTCCTCTTTTCTCTTTACAGACTAAATGATAATCATGTGCCATCTTTCAATCGATATAAACAATATTTCTATCTTCCATTAAAAATAGATACTGGCAGAGACATATACAAAAAAATATATTATATATATATATTGTATGTATGACCACTAAAATTCATAAATGCAAATAGTTGTGTTTTTTGTGTTTCTTGTCTGTTTATCATATTAGAATCATAACACATTTTGGTCTTTTAACAATGAACAGAATAAAATTTTCGGTCATATATCACGCCATAAATCATAAAATCTTGGTCTTTATTCCTTAAACATAACATAACATAATATAATTAGAAAGTAAAAATCTTACTCATCCACTGCATGTCCCCACATGCTGTATCCAAGATAGAAATTCTATCTTGTTTCAATGTCAGCTTCAATTGATCGACAATCGAGTTTAATGTAGTCATGGCTTCCTGTGCATAGTTCAAAGTAGACCCTATCCCCGAGGCTTGTAAATCAGCTGTTCCATCAATACCACCCCACCCCCTGAGACTATATATCATAACAAAATCATTTTGCCTTTTAGCATGGTCCTCCCCTTTGGTTTTGTATGTCGCATCAAAAAGTTCAAATTTTGATGGTTTATGATTTCTGATTGTTCCTCCAGTGATGCAGTTTATAACTTTGGTAATTGTTTGTTTTTCTATTGGAAGTTTCCTATTAGTGACCATTGTTTGATTTACATAGCGCACTTCGTAAATGATATTTCTGTTTGGAACCTCAGCATCGCCCATTTCTCGGTTACAAGTCACTTGCCAAAAAAGTCTTATTGCAATCAAAAGGAACAATAATGTGATTGCTATCCTTAATGCATGCCTTGACTGCATTGCATTAAGATTGGGATTTCACTTCCAGAGTAGTGTGGTTACATTGAGCTAATATTGAGTTTTCACTTCCATAATTTAACTGCATTGCAGCAATGTAAATTTTCACTCCAAGGTTTCACTTCCAGAGTGTGGCTACATTGAGCTAATATTGAGTTTTCACTTCCATAATTTAACTGCATTGCAGCAATGTAAATTTTCACTCCAAGATTTCACTTCCAGAGTGTGGTTACATTGAGCTACATGTAATATTGAGTTTTCACTTCCATAATTTAACTGCATTGCAGCAATGTCAAGTTTTCACTCCAAGGTTTCACAAGTCTTATATTGTAAAAAGGATGTTGCATCCTTCATGTCCTTAGCACATATTATAATACACTTTGTATACACTTTGAAGTCCTCATTTTAGGGCATTATCAAACTACATGTATCGATGAAATCGTTCCAAATTGTGAGAAATTAACAACTCGGACCTGAAATAAAATAAAAATGAATTATACAGTAAATAATTGAAAAATTTGTCAGTTTTGATATTCCAGAATAACACACCGATGTGCATGGGTTTAGGAGAATACAAGATGCTCGATGCAAAGGATCTGAACAGATTTTAGATTTTCTTCTGGAAATCCTCACCAGTTTCTGATGACAAACAACTGACTAAGGTATTTCAACGAGTGACAAATATGAAATGAGATGGTTGTTCACGAGAAAATTGCGCAAAATTCCATGCCACAAATCAAATTCTGCAAAAATTTTGAAAACAAGATTTCTTTCCTTTTTCTGTGGTGACGCGGAATCATGGCCGGAATATTGGATGAGTAATAGATCTATCAACATCCTTTTGAGTCTACATGTCACGCGATGTCCACGGGGAGTACGTCATCCTCCCTATAATACACAGGAAGTATTAGTACTCTTTTGGCCTAACAGAGCCTTTTGCCTTATCCCGTGCCAGTATAGTCCTGGCACGGGATAACTTTTGCCCTTCCCCACTTTCAGAACAGATGTATCCCTCGGGGAAGGGCAAAAAGCTCTGTTAGGCCCAAAAAGGACTTGATACAACTTCCTGTGCTATAATATTCTCTAAAATATAGGCTACAGAATACAAGAGGGGCCAAAAGAGGGAGGGGTTTACTCACTTCGAGAGCCATGTTAGATTTTGAAACTTATGGTATTATATCAAAATCCAATAGCTTTCGCATGAAGTAAGGAGGGTTGACTTACTTCCCATGGCGAGGTCGAGCCGCTAAATATCTTTTCATGCCACTGGTCGACTGATTGACGAGTTTTGAGGTAAGAAATATATATAAAAATGAAAACTACGATATATAACTTGCCAGAATATTTGCAGTACACAAAGCAATTATTAATCTAAAAATCAACCGGAAGTGCCCTGCAGCATCCCAGGTGTCTTTTGTTGTGCCGCTCAAAAGATAAATGCTACTAATTATCTATATGACCAATTTTGATAATAAGTACAAAAAGTACTAAAGAACATTAAATGTATGTATTTTTATTAAAATACTGTACGTGAGTTATAAATTTCGAGAGATAAATTGTAAAACATCTAAAGAGTATTAATTTTAAAAACTAGGTCAAAGTGAAAAGCCGGAAGTTTATGCGACAACCAATCGGAAAGGCGCACTAATTCGCAACGAAAGAAGATGGTGCTTATTTTGAAACACGAAACTTAAAGCTATAATTTGACGGTGATTCACAACGAATCCAGAAGACTGTTGGAGCCAATTGGTGAGTATGTTCTTCTTGATTATATTGAGCTTAGAGTGTCTCATTTTGATTTGATTTTATGGTCGGTATAAGGAGATCTAATGGCTTAGATTTGTGTGGTACGAATGGCGAACCCGTGTTTTCAGAAGTTCAACTTTCCCTTGGATTTCCAGCTAAAATAATGAACGAAAACATTTGTCCTTTCGCATGGGATTGCTTTGGTTCCGACACAATGTTAAACTGTTTAAATTATCTTCTTTTGCGTTATTTTAAAACTGAAATTAGGCAAAAACTATTAAAATTCTTATGCAGGGTTAGGGCCTTTGAATTTGTTGTGAGGTCATGACGTCACCTGGCCTAGAAGTATGTATAACTAAAATCATAACAAAGCCATGTGCTTTTCAATTTTTTATGTACATCAGATGAAAATTAGAATTCCAAAAGCAATTTTGACTTGTAATATACACTGCCAATCTCAAACAGCCATGAAGATAGGCTATAGAAGGGGAATTTCACCTTCATAACATGATGTATCAGCTTATAGTACTTCACAACCATGACTCTAAACGATTATTAAATTCGATAATGAGATATGTTTGACCAGCTCATTCCCTTTTGGTACAATATTCAGACATGTTACCACCCAAAGATTTTTATTTGAGGGCAGGGACAGTTTACAAGACCTAACTTTTGCCAGATTAAGGCTTTACCTCAATTTTCACTAAAATAATGCCAAAAATATGACAAAATTCCTACAGAATTGACATTTTCCCCTTGCAGAATTCACTAATTTTACCCGCAGAATTCAGTATTTTAACTCATGTAAAACTAAGGGGAGTGAGATTCCTTGCGACATATAATTGTTTACATTTGAATATTTCCAGATTCCCGAGAACATATAATGTACAATGAGTAGCAACATAAACCCTGTGAACTCAAAAGGTGGCAGCACTGGTGGTAAGTTATACCTTTCTCATGATTAAGCAATCCAGTTGAAATATTAGTGGTATCGACCAGCCAATCGAATTGAGTGTTTCTTTTCAAGCAGCCAAGCAAAATCTCCGGCGTCTTATGCCTTAAAACCCTCTTGCTCCAGAGTCTAATAACTTTTTTGGAGTTTAAATTGTTTTTTCCGGAGTCTAATTTTACATTTTTGTCACATTATTTGTGGTAAAACTCTGAGAAAATACATAAAACTGGATACAAACAAGGAATAGGAAGTCAGAAACCTTTTAGTAATAAATATTGGGATTAAAATAGCAAGGGTCTAATGAAAAGAAACCATGTCCAACACCCAATCTCCTACCATTCACGTACCATTATCACAATCCAAAACCATAACAGTTAGTAGTTAATAAAAGTCTCACACTGCAGTTAACAATATACATACTAAAATATCATACAATAATTAACTGTCCCGCCGGCTTCAGCGTATGAGAGACTCAGGGAGATTCATGATAATGATATTATTTCTAGGTAAGAAACCAGAGTTGAACCCGAGCAGCCAACAACAGCCTACCCATATACTTCGTCAACCTGTGCATATTGACCAGACTATTCGGTCACATTTTCAGGTATGTGATCTAGTAAAAAAAATGTACACTCTCATCTGAACACCTCTCGACGTGACTGCATTTTAAATTTCCATTTTGCAATTTGCAAGTAGATTTTGATTTTTGAAACACATCACATGTGAACACCTGCCAATCTAAACACTTTGGGCCAGCCCATGTTGTATTTGGATTTGGACAGAATTCACTGTATATCTTTTAAAAAGAATAAGTAAGTCTTACATAATTTCCTTAAACGGTATAAGAGATAGACAATTCAGATTTGATCAGAGAAAGAGAATTTGAGATAGAGTTTAAGCGTCCATAAATTGCCTTGTATTTTAATTTTGTTCCAGGCATCGCTAAAATCATCTGGAATAACCAGTCAAATAGCGAGTAACATACGATCAAGTCTAGGCTATCAGACTCAAATCAACAGACAGCCACAAACCCTTGTGCCTAAATTAACAGGTAAGTCCCTATTGGCCTGTTTCTTGAGTCCTGCTTTATGATTGGCTGAATTCAAATGTCTGTTGCTATAGTTGCATCAAGTCAAGTCTAGGCTATCAGGCTCAAATCAACAGACAGCCACAAACCCTTGTGCCTAAATTAACAGGTAAGTCCCTATTGGTCTATTTCTTTAGTCCTGCTTTATGATTGGCTGAATTCAAATGTCTGTTGCTATAGTTGCATCAAGTCAAGTCTAGGCTATCAGACCCAAATCAACAGACAGCCACAAACCCTTGTGCCTAAATTAACAGGTAAGTCCCTATTGGCCTGTTTCTTGAGTCCTGCTTTATGATTGGCTGAATTCAAATGTCTGTTGCTATAGTTGCATCGAGTCAAGTCTAGGCTATCAGACTCAAATCAACAGACAGCCACAAACCCTGGTGCCTAAATTAACAGGTAAGTCCCTATTGGTCTATTTCTTGAGTCCTGCTTTATGATTGGCTGAATTCAAATGTCTGTTGCTATAGTTGCATCAAGTCAAGTCTAGGCTATCAGACTCAAATCAACAGACAGCCACAAACCCTTGTGCCTAAATTAACAGGTAAGTCCCTATTGGTCTATTTCTTGAGTTCTGATTTATGATTGCCTGAATTCAGAAGAAGTGAGTAGCTTCCATAATACTATCATATTCTTTCGTATTCGGGGATTCCCCTTAGCCATCCTATATGGTCATGTAAGCCTTATATGGATCTAGCACATGGGTACCACGTGATCGAATACGAAGGCTGAACTTTGGGAGAACCCCCCCTGGCCTGAATTCAAATGCCTGTTGCTATAGTTGCATCAAATCTGTTACCATAGTTACATAAGTAAGACAATTGGAATATTGTACGGTGAATGTCATCCCCCATATTTGTTTTTAGAATAAGGTCAGGATAGAAAATAACATCATAGTAGGATAGAAAATGACATAATACTGTAGTAGAATAGGAAATGACATCATAGTAGAATAGGAAATGACACCATAGCTTCTTTGCTATGTACTTGTCCTGTTTTATTTTAAAGAAGCGTTCAATATCTTTTTAAATGAAACAAATGTATAGAGGGAGCCAACAATCAGTGAATGCCACAAAAAATTCTGAAGTAGATATGTTTATTTCATAATATTCATAATGAGCATTCTCCTTTAAATTGCAGTTATGGGAAACCAAGTTGATACCCAGGCAGCTCAGCTCCAAGCAGCACAGCAGGGAGGACATTCATCATTGAATGCTGTACCCATAAATCTTAGCTCCAGTCAGACTGGACGTACACTTACAACTCAAGTACAAGCGACCCCTGCCCAGCCAGTTCAAATACGGCATACCACACCATTACATCCACAGGTACATTCTGTCAACCAATCAGATTTATTGTTACATTCCATTGGCTGAATCAAAATATTATCTGTCATCAGCCAATGAGATTCAGTCATAGTTATTCTTTAACCCAATCAGATTTAATACTTTATTCAATCAGCCAATGATCTTACAATTTACATTCTTGTCAAATAAGTGTCACAACTTGATGAAATTTCCATTAATCTGATCTCCTCATTAGCCATATATTTGTGTGCCTCATGAAATACAGACTTCCTTACGCATAATATTTTTTGTATTTTACTCATGCCATTAAATAACTTAATTGAAAGGAAACCTGATGACTCAGTTGAACTGTTCACTATATGCATAATATCCGATTGGGTGTTTCATTTCATCAACCAATTGGATTTGTTTTTACAATAGGTAATGTCTGGTGGAACCACACAGCATGGTACTGGCAATGGCACATCAGCCAATCAAATTGTATGTTTCACTTTATCAACCAATTAGATTCGTTTTTTCAAAAGGTGATGTCTGGTGGAACCACACAACATGTGACTGTACCAAAGACATCTATCAGCCAATCAAATTGTATGTTTCATTTCATTAGCCAATTAGATTCATTTTTACAATAGCGTGATGTCTGGTGGAACCACACATCAGGTGACTGTACCAATGGCATCTATCAACCAATCAAATTGTATGTTTCATTTCATTAGCCAATTAGATTCGTTTTTACAATAGGTGATGTCTGGTGGAACCACACAGCAGGTGACTGTACCAATGGCATCTATTATAAAGGGGGCCTCTGTCCAAGTATCGCAGCATCCATCCACTCAAGCCTATGCTACACATTTGCCAAGAGGTGAGTAATTACACACTAGAGATGAGTACTAACAGCCTAAAAAAGTTAGATATAAGAGGAAAATAGTCACACACTAGTGAAAGACTAGATTCAACAACACATATAACCGTCATCGCAATATTCATGGAGAAAAATAACTAATTATTATTCAGAATTATTTGTATGCTTTATTCTATCAGACTAAAAAAGTTAGATATAAGAGGAAAATACTACCACACTAGTTACAGACTAGATTTGACAACATATATAACAACAATCACAATGTTCATGGAAAATTATATCTAATTATTATTCAGAATTATTTTTATGCTTTATTCTTAGGTGCAGCCCAAGTGTCTAATCTCACAAACCCAAAAGGTGTTACCCTAGCAACAGCCGTATTACACCCATCTCAGCCTAGTATTGTGCTGCCAACTAAAAGTAGTTCCAGCAACGTGATGCCTACACCTATACAACCAAGGGGATCATTTGTTTCTACAAATTTAAGACCAGTGACTCCACCTATCAATCGTACTGTTGTACCAGCTGCAAGTTCAAGTTCTATATCAACAGATGCACACAGGTATGTTTTATTCTATCTGCCAATTGGCTCAGTGTAGCATTATATCAACCAATCAGATTCTTTGTTTCATAATGTAAGCCAATTATATTTATGTAGCATTACATCAACCAACCAGATACATTGTTGCATTCTGTCAGCCAATAGGGTTCAGTTCTGCTTTTTATCAACCAATCAGATACAGAGTCCCATTCTCTCAGCCCACTGTAAACCTAAGCTGGCAGTTCGCTTGTCAAGCTTGTTTTGATTAATTAGCCTTATATCCAGTTCTTAGCTTTGTTTACTAGTAGGTCAAACAGTCTTCCACTGTAGAAAGTTAATGCTATAGCCACTTTTGGTTAATTAAACCGCAATCTCTTTTCATGTTATTACTCATTTAAACTTACTTAGAAAATATAACTTTTGCAATAAGTAAAAAGAATGATCAATTAGTAATTCATAGATGTAAAAAAAGTTTACAAATTCCAATCATAATCAACCGAATTCTAACACATTTCATTGTATCTATCTTTTGTAAATGAAACCCTAGTACATAAATAAAATTTTAATTTTAGTACATATTTGCATGAAAAGTCACTTTTCTAATTGATTCTACTTTTTGAATCCTATAATTTTTTGATGGTTTTGTACTTAAAACTCTCTTCTTTCTGCTCATCTAAATCAATTTTCTACATTATTTTTTCCTTTGATATATCACTTGTTTTCTGCAAGCAACAGCTCAATGTTGCCTATTCAAACTAGTGTTGTCGCGATGTGCCATAATCGTACATCGATGCATCGGCAATTTTCAGTAGTAAACATCGATGCACATCGCGATGTACATCGAGAAAAAGTCCGAGAAAAATGCACTGAAATACCAAACGCTAATGCACTAAAATACTGAACAGAACAAATTAATAAGAGTACGCTAGTACATCCGGGAACTTCTAGTAACGGTGAAATGAAAGTAAAGTAAATTGTTTTAGATCAATGGTTCATTTCGACTAACTAAAACAGTTTTAAAGCGAAAGAATATCAGAAAACATCAGAAAATGAAATAAGACATGAGAAAGGTAAGCGATTTGGGTCAAAATAAGATAAGAAATGGTGATTTTTAGCAAATTAATTTTTTTTAAAAACATTGATGTTTTGTTTTAGACATCGATGCATCGCCAGAATCAGGTTTGGCGATGTATATCGCGATGTATCGATTAATCGCGACAACACTAATTCAAACCAATATTAAAAATATCAATTTTGGCCAACACCTACTCAATTAAAATGACAATATCTTCTTTAAACAAAATAATGTACACTTTTCTTGAAGTGATATTGTTTCATAATACCCCATTGTTTCTCACTGTGAAAAAAGTTCTGAAAAAAAAAGTAGGAAAATATAGAAAATATGATGGAAAAGTACACTCAAAAATGAAAAAAACATCTATTTCATATTAACTGATACATTTAAAATAGTGACATAATGACCAAATAAATATGATTCAGCAAGTCTTTAATATCATAAGATAATAAGGTAATAAGTTTAGACAGAGAAATGTCGGTAGAAATCATAGATTTTAAGCTTACCAGACAACATGACATAGCCTTCAAACACCACAGCCATATTTTCTAAGACAGATTTTATTACCACTACGCATGTGCAAGAACACCAGATGTGTGATTAATGACTTTCTACCAGTGACAAGTGAACTGCCGCATTTATACTATGCAGGTTTACAGTGAGCCAGTCAGATTTAATGTTGCATTTCATCAACCATTTAGAAGTGTTGTTTCATTCCATTGCATTACATTAACCAATCAGATAAAGCATTTCATTCTATTAGCCAATCAAAACCGTAGAAGTCAGAATAAATTGTACTATGAACACAATGTGTCACAATTCATTTTAGGGCCCATATCCCCAGCACAACCACGACAACAGTTCAAATCACCATACAACAACCACGGACACTGGAACCTCGTACAAATATTGATATTATCCCCCGGGCGGTGAGTGGCAGTCAGCAGATTAACAAACCAATGCAATTAAACCAGACGCACGTCATAAACCAACAGCTTCAGCCGCAACAGAAGATTGTGATGTCACAACAAACCGTTTCGTCTTTGCCGCAACAGATCATAAAAACAGGTGTGGTGTTGAAAACATTAATTGGTAATTGGTACACTCAGCATTTGAGCAATTAGGTGCATGCACCCTGCTCAAAATTAGCACCTTGTTATGAAAAATTTGGTGAGATCTCTGCAACATCTACTCATACCTGTTACTCATACCTAGTACTCATACCTGTTACTCATACCTAGTACTCATACCTGTTACTCATACGTGGTACTCATACCTGGTACTCATACTTATTCTATCTAGTCTGACTGAAACGCTACTGCCAGTCTGCCCTCTGTGTATCCATTTATAGTTCTGATTCTTCAGATCATTGGATTACAACATCATGTCGTTTTAATCAATAATACCTTTTAATTGTGTCACCACAAGAAATTGTGACATATGATTATAGTCTCCAACTTTTTGTGGTCTGAGTGTTTCTAACAAATGGCAGGTTGTGACATTCTGCATGTTATGATACAGTAATGCAATGATTTACTTGATTTTGAGGTCTTAAAAGGCATTTCATCCATCCAAATTTGGGTTATCCGTTCTTTATTTATTTCAGTGTTACCTCAACTTCAAAATAGTTCGGTCCACCAGGGGTCAGCACCAGTTGTGACAACAATTTCCGCACCGGCCATACCTATAGGTAAGATAAGGAAACACAAACAGAAATAAATGAATTCATATTTTTAAAAGATATATGAAATACTATAAATGAACGTCTCATGGTCTGCATTGTGTTTAAAATGAGATTTTAATTTTACTGTGATAAAGCCAATCATCACTATAACAATTGTATTCACATGGACACATTGACATTCCACTTTTTGTCATCGCAATTTGAGATTTTAATGACTTAGTATTTGAACATCTATAAGATGTAAGTAACATTGATTTTTGCAATATGCATTTTTACATGGCACAAGTAGCATTGGCACCAAGAATTATAACAATTTCAATCAATGTCAGACAATAACAGCATTTACATTGTTTGAATTTTCCAGCTAAGGTCCATCCTCAACGACAAATGTCCCAGGATTCGCGTGACTTGTCACATGACACTCGCACTACTCAATCTGGTCTCGGGACTATTTTCCAAGGTCAGGGTCATAGGGGAAGTCCTGGTCTCAGTACAGGGGTCTCTACGGCAACCACAAATGTACACACTGACATCCGCTCTGATAGGTAAGATTATTGTATTATTCGCACAAAATTATAGGCAAGCATAACATCAATGTCTGACCAATCAGAACATAGAACCTGGCTGATCTCAAATTTATTGCATACTTTTGAAATTATCAAGTTAACAGACATGTAGTCAACACTCTAAATTGTATAGAAATGCCAAGAAAATCAGACACTCCATTCAAATTTTAGAGGGAAATGAGTGAAACCAGCATGGAATAAAGTAAACAAGTATGTAGTGTACCCTCTGAATTGTATAGAAATGCCAAGAAATCAGACAATGTGATCATGATTTAAAATACAAATTAGAGTGAAAGAGAGTAGAATTAGCAAGAAATAAAGTTAAGTGACACATAGTAATATTAAAACTCTAAATTGTACAGAAATATGTGAAGTCAAAAATCAGACATTTCATACAGACTTGAGAGAAAAGATAAAATATGAAAATTATTTGTTTGTTTTTCAGCCGATCCCAGATTTCCCAACAAGTAGGCCAACAGTACCAAGATATGCAACACTTTGCCACTTACGCTACTTATGGGAACACTCACCCTACACTGGCCAATTTACCACTTGGCTACAACCCCCTATCATATAGTCCTGCTGTAGCTCATGCGTTTGCACAAGGAGTGAGACAGAGTATAGGTAAATACAGAGTGGGCTGTAAAAATGGATATTTTGCATCATTCTTATAAATTTAAGATCACATAGATGAAACAATTGTTGTAAAGTTGGGTAATTTATAAGTTTCAATGAGATGCATTATAATTTTATGTGTCACATTTTTTTAATGCTTGTACTTTGTTACCTGAACTTTTAATTTGAAACGTGATCATAATAACCCCATGACATTTAGGTTGATACTTGGTGATTTAGTTTGATATTTGGTGATTATGGGTGATACTTTGTGATTTAGGGTAACACTTGATGATTTAGGGTGATACTTTTTGATAATTACCACTTATATTCCAGTACCAAATACACAAAGCCCTAACCTGGCTACTGCGCTACAATCTCAGACTATCTCTAGTAGTCCACGCCTCCAAAGTTATAACTACATTTAATTATTACTACTTATATTCCAGTACCAAATACACAAAGCCCTAACCTGGCCACTGCGCTACAATCTCAGACTATCTCTAGTAGTCCACGTCTCCAACGTTATAACTACATTAAATTACCACTTATGTTCCAGTACCAAATACACAAAGCCCTAACCTGGCTACTGCGCTACAATCTCAGACTATCTCTAGTAGTCCACGCCTCCAAAGTTATAACTACATTTAATTATTACTACTTATATTCCAGTACCAAATACACAAAGCCCTAACCTGGCCACTGCGCTACAATCTCAGACTATCTCTAGTAGTCCACGTCTCCAACGTTATAACTACATTAAATTACCACTTATGTTCCAGTACCAAATACACAAAGCCCTAACCTGGCTACTGCGCTACAATCTCAGACTATCTCTAGTAGTCCACGTCTCCAAAGTTACAATAACCCAATGATGGTGGCTGTTGACCCGACACGGAGTCCTTTAGCTGTTCATAGCCAGTATGCTCCCACATCAAGTAAGAATTTTTAAAGTGGCCATTTTGGATTTTCCGTCCTCAAATTGTGTCGGTAAAGTCTTGTCTACCCATTTTCAGGATAACCATTTGATGGGATCACCCATTGGTTGGGACATTTTGTACACATTTGTGTTCTTGTAAAATATTGTTAAAACATTCTGTTTGAGGTTCGTGGTTGGCACTACGATGTATGGTGATTGTGATTTATGGTGTTATTGTAACTTCAATTTCTATTTTTAAATAGCTCAGTGCCTTTGTCTTATTACGTAAATTCCAAAATACATGAAAAGTTTAATGAATTCTGACAGTTACAATTTAAAAAAAAAAAGAAAAAAGTGTAAGAGTTTTAGAGACCAAGGCCTTTTAGAGTCTGACACTTACACAACGCTTTAAAACCAAAAGCTATCCCCTGCATATGACTTGTTAAATAGAAAGGAAATTGTTTGTATTTTAGTTCAAACCCAGGTGACTGACAGTGCATCACATACAAGCTCTGGTGGACTTAGTAATCAACCTATAGCCAACCCAAGTGCGTCACCAAGACCAAGTATACTCAGAAAGAGGACCCTCGAGGGGTAGGTTTGAAATTTCTCGAAAAATTTTGTATATATTCTGCTTCACCTTGGTTTCATTGATTGAGCCATGGATACATGTATAATGATTTCCACTGAGTTTGCCAGTTGGTTGTGCCAGAACAGTTGATTGTGCCATAAATAGTTTGGATTGCTTATTGATTGTGTTATAAGCCAAATTGGTTGATCTGTATTGATTGTTACAGCATCAACTTTGATTTGCCAGAAGAGAACCCAATTTTTAAACAATCAAATTAATTCTGACATATTGGTTGTTCCATATCTTTTGATTGTGTTAATTTGATTGTGCCATATTGATTGTTCTGATTGTGCTTCAGGACCCTCATTGACAAAGTGAAAAAAGTTCTTACTCCCACTGGAAGTGAAACAAGCAGTCCGATGCAGGAACTTGCTCCGAGAACTTTAAGTGTATCGCCTACAAAACCTGGACCACCACTGTAAGTTGTATAAGGCTAGGTTGCTTACAAAAACTGGATCTAGTTTGAAAGAAAATCACGAAAGGGTCTTGACACTGGTCTTATTTTTAAATTAAAGTTCATACACTTCATTTATTACAGATAATAAATTGTGCAGAGTCAAGGTGAAATTCGTTATTTGGCGCAAAAATAGCCATAACTTGCCAAATTTAAAGTAGTTATTTCATTACATGTCCTGTATCATTGAGGATGAAATATCCATGATTGAACATAGCGATTGAGGATAGGTTTGACGCTTGATAAAACAAGATTTTTCCTGTAATATAAAATGCACTTATATTTCTCCATGTAATATTCCAGCGACCCTGCCAGGGAAAATAGTCAATCATCTACAGACACGGCCACATCTAACGAAACTGGACTTGGAGATGAAACAGTGAAAATCAAAACAGAACCAGATCTTTTAGAAAATGGTATGTGGGAGAATGTGCTAAGGGTCAGATGGAATATTCTTTGTATTATTTTTTGGCTAGTAGCCTATGGATTCACCTATTCGTCAGTGTATTCACCTGTCAGCAATTTTTGGGCAAATGAAAGTTCCATTCATTTTATCCAGCACTCATTTTCATTTTAAGGGCTCCATTCTGGTAATACCTTACACCATTTGTTTTGGCTCCTAAAGCCCCATTTTGTAGAAATTGGCTCTTTTGACCATCTTCAGCTCACTGAGTGCAATTGTGGAAAGAAGTAAAGGTTAAAGATTCTCATGCCAGGGTGCTTACTTATGTGTGTATCTAACATTCTGGGGGTCACATGATTTGCCAAATTTGAATGACTTCTTTATTTATTTTTGTAATCCTGTAGAATATTTGTAGCTTTTGCATTTTTCATCATATATTTTTAAGAAAAAAGTTTTTTCAAATATTCTGTATTTAAAATTCATTTTTTCTTTTGTATATTTAAACATAATCTATATCATTTTAGGGCCCATCTCAAATGGTTTGAATAACAACAGTGTTGAGATGTCCCCTAGGAAAAAACCAAGAAAGCAATTACTGTAAGTAGTTAAATATTTATAGAAAGAATAAATGATTGAAGACATGTAATTATCATCATTTGTCACATGTTTACTAGAATCAAGCAAAAATTACCCGCTTGTCAAATGTTTAGTAGAATCAAGCAAAAATTACCCGCTTGTCAAATGTTTACTAGAATCAAGCAAAAATTACCCACTTGTCAAATGTTTACTAGAATCAAGCAAAAATGACCAACCTCATTCACCAAGAAATCAGTTAAAATGATGTGCACTGGAAAATTCTCTATCATCAATTCACTGGTTTTATGAAATTTGTTTGAATTATTATTATTGAATTCTTCTGAATTGATAAACAGTAAAAACCTAAACCGAACAGTTTTTAAACCAAAGCTTCTGACCAAGTTAAAGTGCCCTGTTGGACTCCTGATGACAAGTAAGCATTTTCTGGGAGATGTTTTGATAAATAAAAAACAAACATGAAGAAACAAGATCATACATGAATATGCTGTAAAATCAGTCGCAAGCTTATTGGGACAGGAATCCTTTCCCATATTTGACTGTTTAGTTTCCAACAATATCAGTTGTCAGAATTTTTACTGAAACCTCCTTGAGAACTTTGTTCAGTCTATCATTATTTAACCCTCGCATCTCTGGCTCACATTTAACCTTTTCCTTTCCAGGTCGCTGCTACATGGCATAGAAGGCGTAGAGGGAGATAACAAACCTGTATTGCCCACCCCTTACAGTGTTAGGTAAGTTAAAGGCCCCATGCAGTTTTATAATATTTTTAATGAACCAAATATTAATTTTCATGACAAAAAATCATTGAGACATTTAAAATTGTTTTCTCTAAAGAAATGAATAAAGTTGTTTAAAGCTATATTCCTTTAAGACATTTTTGTAAAATATATCTATGTCACCACCAGAAGTGGTGACATATTGCTATAGTTTCCAATTTTTGTGGATGGTCTTCGGCAGTTGGTGTTGGGTATCTATATAAGCAGTAAATGTCTGTAACAAATGACAGGTGGTGACATTTTGCATGTTAATGCGCGGCACTGCCTGGCATTTCTGAACAATTTCGAGCATTATCCCTTTGCCTATTTTATCTGGCAAATAACCATAACCCCATATTTATTCTCCCCAGGATTAAAGATGAGATAAAGGACAGTTCCTCCACTGATTCAGATATTGAGAAGGATGAGGACATTGATACAACATTTGATGAAAAAGATGAGCTGCCTGAAGGTATGATTGAAATAAAATGGGATACATTTATAGTCAATCTCCAAAATGCCTGGTTTGATTAAAATTACATGAGATTTAAATGCAATAGCCATTGTCTAAAAGTTAACATGCTTTGCAGGGCTCTCGCTGACCTTTTTAAGTCAAGTGTATGCAGATTTCTTTTTTCACAGTTTCTATATTTGGTCATAATATGCAAAAATAAAGCTGAATATCAAGTTGGTGCAATCCTGTTTTCAAATTCTCAAGCAGGTGCAACACCCCAATGAATGCTGAGGTGATCAGTGTATTTTGCTGATCTATTTATTCCCTCAACATCAATGTCCATAAAGCACCAGCCTATAAAATTAGAACCAAATCTGTCAACCGGTATTTGTGTCATTACCCGAACTGACAAATCAACCAATGAGTGATTGAACGGAAGGACAGCTTGTCTGTACTCTTACCGATCTTTATTCTGTGGGATAATGATATATTTTATTCGCTACTTTCAGAGTATACTGATGATGAGGGTGTCCGCTGGGTACGAATGAGGAAGAGATTTTCTGGCTGTTTACTCACAAACTACCATTGTAACTGGAAAGCTCGGAACAACCATTTTGTTAGATACGTCGATGTGAAACCTAAAGGTAAAGCATTAATGAACAAATATGTTCAAATCAAGTTGTGATATACTGATATAGCCACCATTTTTGCGACTGTCATCTGTCATTTTTGGCAATTATGTCTTTTGTAAATATGCTCAATATGTGTAACAGTGTGTGAATTTTAAAGAGACAAGTTATTTTGTCATTTATTTAGACAATAAGCATGGTGAGCAATATTATGAGACTAAAGGAAATTGCGATTAATTTTGAAGGTCACTATTTCAGAGTGGTACAGTAATACTCCATTTATTAGTAATTCAAAGTTAGTCATCCTTTCCAAGACACAGAAAGACAATAAAAAAATATAATCCTAGCCTTGCCCAAGCCGGTGTTTTTTTACTTATCTGATCTTGAATTATTATGGTCATAATAGAAATCAAGATAAGTTAGAGAGACTAACTTGGGCAAGGCTAATATAATCCCTGAGTGAAAATATCTTGTAAAAATTATATTGAAAGATACTAATAAATAGTCTCATGTTATAAATAAAAAATTAACTCTCGTACAATTTGTTCCAGATGAGCGTAGACCAACAGTGAATGAACTGTCCAATCAGAAAGGAATCGGGCAAAAAGCGAGTGGTTGGAGATTATACCATTTGGCAGCACAGCTGGAGGACATGGTATGTGCTCATGTGTTATATGTTGTGTATTGTAAATATCAACATTTCTTGAATGAAGAAATTTATCTATTACTGAAATAGTTTCATTTATTCAGAATATGCAATCTAATAGTAGCTTCTTATGTAATTTTAATTGTTTGAGAAAAATTGTGAAACAAATAATTTTTGAAAACCATGTCACCAAAAAAGGTGTAATAAATAAGCATAGCAAGAAATTTTATGACAATTCAAGTAACTTTGATTGATTTTGCAAAAGTCAATGTCACCAATGTTTATATTGCTTTTAAGCAGAATGTTCATACCCTTATAGCTCCAATCCAATAAAGGGTAACTTAAAGGTGCAACAATTAGTGCAGGGGGGGGGGGGGGCATTCAACGATCATCGACCAGTGTTAAAATATATTTAAGTTTGGATATTTCATCAAGACTAACATATATTTTCATTATCTACAAAGAAACCCCCTGGATGAACATTATTTCAGCTGTTATTCCTCTTGAAACGTGGCGAATCTTAAAAATCTATAAGTGGGACTCCCTTTATAGAAGCTTTGAACTGACTTTACACTTCTTAATGCTGAAATTGAGAGTTTATTTATACATTTGAAGAAAATAGGTATGTCAAAGAAGATGTTAAGCCAAATATTGACCTGATGGCTCAGAAAAAATAAAAAATTTCCAATTTTCTCTCTACAGTCCTTGTTGCCCCTTTAATCCCACAATTCAAACATGTCCCTAATATTTATTTTGCTTGCAGGCGGACAGTGAGAAAAATGTTAGGAAGAAGTTAAAGGAGATCCAGGCCCAGGTTGCCCCAAAATCTCAAGTGAAACACCTCCCTCTGGATGATGATGTCACAATGGTGCATGAACTGACACAGGTATTTAATGAACTGACATTGTATTATATGAACTGACATTTATATTATATGAACTGACTCAGGTGTTAAATGAAATGACATTTGTATTATATGAACTGACTCTGATGTTAAATTAACTGACTCTATGGATGAACTGACATGGGTGCTGTATGAACTGACACAGGTATTATATGAACTGACACATATGAACATGTTTTAAATGAAATGACACAAATGAACTGACATCAATATTTTATGAACTTACATTGATATTTTATGAATTGGCACGTATAATACAACCAGTGTAATTTTAGTTAATATTTTACCTTTGATTTCATATTCCACTTTAAATAACATTTGGACTTCTTTCATCGATTTTGTTATATTTTGAATGAACTAAATTCCAGGGCAACATTCAGAGATGTCAGCTGGTTATCGAACAATTGGAAGAGGCCCGCGATTCAATGCTTGGAATTCTGGGACATAAATCTCGTATTATGGAAATTGTGACAAAACATCACAGTAAACGACCTGTGAAAAAGAAGGAACGATCATAGAATTTTTCATAAGTCTGTATAATAGTATAATAAAAAGAGCAACATGTAATGTGTAGATACTGTATTTTACTGTGTGAGGTATAGACTTTTTACATTGCCAAATTACAGGTCACTGGGGTCATGAAATGTTTTAAAATGCAAAATAGAGTAGAAATTAGTGGAATTTGCAAGGAATTAAGTTAACAGGCATGTAGTAAACACTCTAAATTGTGTAGAAATGCAAGGAAATGAAACACTTTATTCAAATTTTACAGAGAAATAGAGTGAAATATATTGTTAAGTATAAGCAGACAGACATTTTAAATTGTAAAGAAATGCAATTAATTAAGATTTTGTTTATGTTTTAGAGAGAATTTTGGGAATTTGGTTGGATTAAGATAGGAAGAGACATTGTATTTGCTCAGAAAAAAAAACAGATACCAAAAGATATTAAAATATATTTTAAGTACATGTACACTTCTGATTTGTTAATACTTGTACATGTACTTTTGATTGGTGGATAAGTTCACTTCTGATTGGTTACTAAGTGTGCTTCTGATTGATTAAAAAATCCACTTTTGATTGTTGGATGGTGTATTATTTAAAGTTTTATTTTATTTTTAGAAACATAATTTTTGTGAGTGAAAAATTCAATTTTAACATGAATATCATGACATGAAATGTCTGCCATTCTGCATGCTAATTGAATTTAAGGTATCTCTATACTTGTATTTTAATAAAAGAATTACAATGTATGATAATAATTATTTCCAGCTGTTTTGAATATTTATTGCTTTAGTGTCATTCTTTTTACCCAGTGAAGAAATGTCATGGTGGCCATGTTTTGAAATGCAAAATAGAGTGAAAAAGAGTGGAATTAGCAAGGAATAAAGTAAACAGGCGTGTAGTCAACGCTCTAAATTGTATAGAAATGCAAGAAAATCAGACAAGATGGCCATAATTTCAACTGCAAAGTAGAGTGGAAAAGAGTGGAATCAGAAAGGAATAAAATAAATAGGCATGTATTGAACACTCTAAATTGTATAGAAATGAAAGAAAATTCAGTAGATCTTTCAAATTTTAGAGAGAATCGCTATAGAAAAACAAGACATGTGCTCATTTCTCTCATGTTTAAAGAAGAATGTACAACTGAACTGTTATATACTAGACATGTAATCTGCTTTTTGTGTATAATATACAAAGTATAATATATAAATGAATAATTGTATATGTACTTTAGTTAGGATTTTTGGAAATATATGTATCATATATGTATATAAAGTAAAGATATTGTTTTGTTCATTAAGGCTACATTTTGAAAATCTGGTTTATTCCCCCATACACGTATCCCTAGAAACCTAAAAATTAACTGTAAGAGAAGTCGTAACACTGTGTCTGTAAACTGATTGTAAACTTTAAGTGCAGGGCACTGAGCCACATAAACCTTGTTATCAAAGTTTTAGGAAAACCGCTTTTACCATTCAACTTTAAATTTTCAAACTGCAAGAGCAAACTAGTGCCAAGATCTGATTAGTTTTTGGGCATGCTGGGTAAATTACATTTGCCATCAAAAGTGCAGTATTTTTCACAGTGTCTCGTTATTTTCTAAGTTTTAATGTAATCATTTTATTGTATATATAACATGACAAGATATAGGATAAAATAATTCAATTTATTATTTAATTGTGTAGATATATACGAGTACTGTATGTACTGTATCATATCTATAATATTATTTACAATTCATATGTCACAAAAAATAATTATATCACAACTGGGGTCATGCATGTTTATGACTCTGTAATTTATCCTTGATTATATTAAATGTTTATAATAGCCTATCCCAAATATCCTCATTATCTGGGAATTTTTGATCTGTTAATATCTCGGGGGAATTCCCAAAAGAATTTTCAAGATGGTGAATAAAAAATGGCGACCTTTTTTTTAAAAATCATAATCTTTGATCACTTAAATAGACAAATACCAGTGAACAGATTTGGTTCAATTTTACAATGCCAGTGAATATCACCTAATCTTTCATGACATGTGACCCAATATGAACCAATCATACAATTGCAGGTGTGACAGTGATATACTGATAATGTTGTCATTCCTTAAATATCAGGTGATCAAGCTTAACTTCCGATCATGTTGCCGCCATTGTAATGTTTGACATACAAAAATATTGTTGTTATCTTGATCTATATGGATGTGCTATGCAATCGCAGGCTCTTGTGAAATGTTCTGTCTTTTACTAATGTAGACTCTGTGGTTGGATACTGTGATGATGTACATAAACTCCTCCCATAATACTGAAACATCAAAAATAAATTATGTTAATTAGCCCATTTGCGTTATATTTATTCTTTCAAAATGATTTGAAGTTAACTTGATTTTTGATTTTGATCAAAATATATAATACCAGAAATTGGGATTGTGGCAGTTTATAAGAGTTTAAATCAAACAAGGTATTGACATGCAAAATGTCACCACCTGCCATTTGTTACAGACACCAACCACTAACCGCCAAACATCAACTGCCGAACACCATCAATAAAAAAGTTAGAGACTACAACAATATGTCCCCACTTGTGGTGATGACATAAATAAGACTGATTGGGGAGTGAGTTTCTATGGAGATGAGGTATAAGATCCCTCAAAACATAAAGCATTTGACACGGTCACCCCATATTTTCTGATAAGGTAGTTATCTCCATTTTATTGAACCAATAAGACCTGCCAAACTTCAACAAAGTATTTAAGTCAGTACCTGAGAGTCTTTTGAAAGCTGTGTTGGGTTTCTCACCAGTTGGAATTTTACCGGCTGTCTGCACCAGGTTCATAATCGTATCTGCTAACTTCTCAGCATTATCTAGATCACCACCTGACTGAAATTCATCATAAAATTAACTTTTTTAGTTACATGTACATTCATATAGATTTTACCATAGGCAAAAGCCGATAGGAATAATTTTAAAATAAAGATGGCATGGTAATCGATCTGTGTTTTACTATTGTAAAATGAACTTGACTGTCTAAATGCAAAAATTTCCAGTCTTTCATTATAGGTTTAACAAATCATGACAATGATGTTTCACCTTTCTTATGACCTTGACCCATCGTATGAAGTGTTTTCAGATGACCTTGACCTACTGAACGAAACCCTGAGATAATCTTGACGTATTGAATGCATAGAACCACCTTATACGGTACAACCTTAACCTTTGAAAATAGATCATTTCATATATATCAAAAAATCAATTTGATGTCCAACAGTTACATGATTGATCTTGATGTCAAAATTAATTGTGACTGGTATAAATTAAAATAGTGTGACATACATGTATTTCATTTATCAGAGAACCACTAGGAACAGGGTTACCATGGAAACATGCGTTTCCATTCCTGTTGTTTACTTCATATTTCAAGCTTTAATGAATAAAATTAGAAAGAAGATATGACATGAGGAGGTCCTTTCATATGACATCGTGACTTAAGGTGAACTTACACTGATCACAGCTCCGTCATCGTTCAAGACCAGGTAGCCCAAAGAATCAGGAATCTTCTCAATGCCCTGCGTCATTCTACAAGTACAGCAATTTTGGAGTTTGTTCAGAAATTTCTGAACATATGACTACATTAAAGAATAAATGGCCTCCATTCCTCCAGGTAGGAAAATGGATCCTGAAGGCATGCTCGTCTGGAGAGCTACTGTAACTAATGTAACGACCTGTGGGCACACTCATTAAGGAAGCTGTAGTGCAACGAGCCAGATACCACTCTCTTCAGCGGCATGGGTTTGATTATCACATGGGGCATTGAATTTAGCACACTCCCTTTCAGATCTAGTATCTGGCTTGTTACACTGTACACTCCTTGGATGAGTGACATTGAGCGTGCTCATGTGTCGTCACAATATCAGGCAGTACAAGTTCCTGATGTTGACTGGCTGAAACCCTGAAAATTACAATAAATGTATTTCTCCTTATAATAGGTGGTTCTCTCCTTATTTGTTGACAATAAGACATTGTCTCTTACATGCTTATAAAAAAATGAAATAAAAATGAAAAAAAAATATGAGAAGGCAAGAAAGAATGTCACTTTCCTTTTATGATTTTAATAAATCATATTTGACTTATTCATCATTTGGTACAACAGTTTTCAATATTCTTACCTTCAAAGTTCTGCAAATTGACAAAATGTCAAAATATATTTCAAAAACACACAAACCCGGAAGTCATGTGAAAATCGAACTCTCGCAAAGTCTCGCTAGTCTTTCTTGTTCCTCTTTACAAACTGTCTACTGTTTATGATAAAAACAGATTCCTTTGAAGTATTCATGTAGTGGCTGAACTACCTGGTCTTAAAAAGACCAAATATCACCCTGGTTTATAGACGAATTACTGTCTTCAAAATTAGGTCACATGATGTTATTCGAGAATTTATTCAAGATGGCGGATGGTGGGCGAAAAATATTTTTCACAAATTCAGCAGAAAAATGCTGATAAATGCTCACAGAGTACAGTTTTAGCGATAAGATATAGATATTGAGGATGTCTGGTGGTGCCACAAGAGTCAGACATGTTAATCTTGTGACGCAACAAGTAAGTTAGCCTAGATTTAGGCATCCGGTTGTGGAACTAAAAAACTTTTATACAGTTGAGTTGGGGACAAAAATAAATGACAGGTCGATTTTCGATCACCATTTCCTAATTTTGGTCGTCTGAAAGTCCATAATTTCCAATATTGTCTAGATACATATCCCTTAAAATTTGTATATTTCACATTTTCAGGGCTGGAACCACCTAATATGAGTGACTTCAAAATGTTGGACACCTAAGTCCAAATCTGAACACCTTTGTCCAAATTTTGAACACCTTTGGCCAACTTTTAAACACCTTTGGCCAAAGTTTGAGCACCTTTGCCAAACTTTGAACACCTCATATTTTTCGCGCTTGCTACGCTCGCGATGTCGTCAACGGGGGGGGGGGATGGGGGGGGGTAAAATGCGTATTTTGCGTGACATTTTCTGTCACGCAAAAAAAACTGGCGTGACTTCAAATTCTTCAGCAAATGCGTGACAAATACGCAAATTGCGGGACAGTTGACAGGCCTGCATTTTGTATAATCTCATCCACTGTAGTCAAGTGAACTCGACTTAATGTTGTTGTTTCACGTTTCTTTTTGACGATTTGGATATTTGTTTTTTATTTTTGTTTTCAACATTTGCGTCGAGGATATTAAGCCCAGTATATTGCGGTAAATGCTTTTCTGCCCTCTATGCTCAACAAAACTTACACAGATAAGATAATGGATCCAATGCTTCAACTAGAATGTATTAACTCTTACCTTAAACACAGGAAATACTTGATAATTGAAGAAATGTAATCATTTTCGTATATGTTTGAACCAATTTCCAATATGGTTCTCAAGGTCACTCAAGGTCACTGAATACAGTCTAAATGTGAAACCATGCAACCAAAACGAAATCGTAATTATTTATTTCCAACATATCTGTTTTCGGTTTCTTCACCCTCCTTGGTGTCTGAGAAGGCGATTCAATTGTCATAAGACGATGATAAACTTTCGAGTTGAAATCTCGATCTCAATATGGCTGCTGTTATTTATTGTAATTTCGTTTTTCGCTTCACCTAGAGTTTTACTTTTACACAATCATTACCCAGAATGCATCTACACATGGGGAAAAAAATTGTTTCCAGAAAAATTCTTATACTTCTTCAATTATCAAGCGTTTGACGTGTGTAAGGTAGGATTAAATACATTATCGATGAAGAGCATATTCTAATACATAATTTGTGTGATTTTGGTTGCCTAAACAGGCCAGGAAAGCATTTCCCTCAATTTACAACTGGGAAGTGTGTACGACCATAGTATGCAAGAAAATAACAAAAAATAAATATCCAAATTATCAAAAAATAATAACAAATAAAGCATACGATGGTCGGATTTATATGACTAATCCACTGATGTATGGCCTCTTGAAAATTCTCTTATTTTTAACATGGGAAATTCTCACTTCAGCAAATCCACCTGTCATTTATTTATGTCCCGAACTGTAGTCTAGATTAGCCTAAACTTTAGGCTAAAGATAAAACACTTATTCTAGTGAGAAGTTCATATGGTTAAAATAACGAAATAATGAAATGTTACCATGTGTCTACGTAGCAGTGTGTTCTCTGTCATCCATCCTGCTAGGTTACATTGTGGAACGCAGTTAAAACACGACAATGAAGGCAAAAACATATTGATATTGATCTTAGCAGAATTTTGGGAAATTTAGATCGTCCATTTTGCAAGCTCACATGACTGATCACGTGACACGTGTCTGATCACGTGACATGTGTCTGATCACGTGACTTAATGACGTGTCACCCAAACCATGTCTTCAAGGAAAACGGTAGTAAATATTTTGGAAAATGTTTTGCGAGCATTTGCTACTGATTATAGAAGAACCAACTACGCAACGAAACTGCTAAATTGTATTTCGTGCCTAACAGGCCCAGTACGCAACGAAAGAAACTGCTAATTGTATTAATTTTTAGTCTGCTTATTGATCTATTGATTCATAAAGACCTGAAATGATGCATTCAAATAAGACTGCCTCCTAAATGAAAATATTACACATAAAGTGGTGAAAAACAACGAAGTAAAGTTGAAAGATCGCAACGTTCGCTACTTTGTTCAATTCCGGAAATCTCCAAGGGGCTGCAAATGGGAAATTTTTTAGATTTAGATTTTACAACCTCAGAATAATGCCTTCAGTGTCGTGTTTGGCTGAGTTCCACAATGTAACCTAGCAGGATGGATGACAGAGAACACACTGCTACGTAGACACATGGTAACATTTCATTATTTCGTTATTTTAACCATATGAACTTCTCACTAGAATAAGTGTTCTTTAGCCTAAGCCTAATATTTTTATTTTATATTTCAAGTCAAGAACTTGAAGGATGAGTGGCTCCCAGTTATCCCGTGCCAGGACTATAGTCCTGGAGTGAGCCCAATCTTTTGCCTGTATGATTATCCCATCGAACGTAGTTCGGAGGGATATAGGGAACGCCTCCGTCCGTCTGTACTGATCTATCTGGAAATATTCCTAGAAACCAATCTTATGGAATATTTATATCACAAATAATAAGGATTTCAAGAATCTGCAGTCAACTGGAAGATGCAACAAACAGAGTTACCAGCCTGGGAAATAAACTACAATGTCAAGGCTACAGGAGCAACATACTAAATTCGTATACTAAGAAAGCTATAACAAGAAATAAATGGATATGTACTAAATACAATATGCAGGAGAATATCATCATGAAGGACTGGAAAATTAATGAGAGAAGAGAACATTAACAAATGAATATGAAACAGTATCTTCTCCGCAAAGAGGGTAAACTAAGATGACAAATCAGCATAAGACCAACAGTAAGGGGAAGGGGAGAGTTTTCCGGCCGGATCAAAACGTTTAACCCACCTATGCGCAGTCTCAAGTCTGTGGACCCTGAAGAAAGATAAGTAACATCGCAATCAAATCAAGACAAAGAAAGAAGAAAATGAATGAAGAAATCAATGCAGCAACAACAAATGATGTCCGTACGTACGTTCGTCCGTCCGGGCAATAACTCATATACCGTTGGCCCGATTTTGTTCATATTTGTACACATATACCCTATGGGGGTAGAAGTTCTGCTCGAAAGCCAATTTTCAAAATGGCCACTCATTTCAAAATGGCGGCCATTTTAGTGCCGAATTTACAGTAATTTAGGTGCAATATGTAAAACTGTAATAGCAATATGTTTTAGATGTAAAAAAATTATATAGGACATTAATAAAGCTAGAAATGTAGATAATAAAGAAGCACATGGCAGCCATCTTGAAAAATGGCGGCCTTTACTCGTTATTTTACGATTTTTGCTGAAACTCGCAAAAGTAGTGGAGCAATTTTGTTCATATTTGGTATGTGAATACTATAAAAATTGCACACTGTCTAAAGACACTTTTGGTAGAAAGTGGCCATTTTAAAAAATGGCCGCCATTTTGAAAAATGGCCGCCATTTTAACCTATTTTACTATAACTCGAAAAGTAGTGAAGGGATTTTGTTCATATTTGGTATGTGAATACTATAAGGATGGCACATTGTCTAATGACACTTTTGGTAGAAGGCAGCCATTTTTCAAAATGGCCACCATTTTAACGTATCTTACTATAACTCGAAAAGTAGTGGAGCGATTTTGTTCATATTTGGTATGTGAATACTAAAAGCATGACACACTATCCTATGACACTTTTAGTAGAAGGTGGCCATTTTGAAAAAAATTTTGAAAAATGGCTGACATTTTAATGTTTTTTATAATAATTAAAAAAGTAGTGAAGCGATTTTGTTCATATTTGGTATGTGAATACTGTAAGCATGACACACTGTCTAATGACACTTTTGGTAGAAGGTGGCCATTTTGAAAAATGGCTGCCATTTTAACGTATTTTACTATAACTCGAAAAGTAGTTGAGCGATTTTGTTCATATTTGGTATTTGAATTCTATAAGTATGGCAAATGGTCTAATGACACATTTGGTAGAAGGCGGCCATTTTGAAAAATGCCTGCCATTTTTGCTATATACTTTGTTTGTAAAAATGCCATCCATGGCTGTTCGATGGGATTCGCTACGCTTTGGCGTTGCCGTTGTTCTGGTTACAACTTGGGAGAATTATTTACGTCCATTACTCTTTAGATACCTACTTCAATAGATTCCTTGGTATTTTAGCATTCTTTTCGTGTAATTGAATCCAAAATTGTCTGGGTTTATCGCCAGAATGAAGAAATCCCCTTTTAAATCCAACCGCCATCTTGGAAAGTAATGGAATCTCTCTCGATCAAAAACAAAATTTCTTTGCTCTGCCGATAAACCTTGATTTAAAACTTTGATTTATTTTCACAAGTTTTATGCCTTAAGGTCACATAGGCTCTGATTTTCACTGCGGCGCCCGGCTGATTGAGTATTTTGTTCAAAATTGAATACAATATTGAACAAAACACTCAATCGGCCGGGCGCCGGCCGATGGATCGGAGCATAATATGTGACCCAGGCATTAGTTTTTCTGGAAAATAACGATTTATGACACAAATACCAGTTATCAAATTTGGTGCAACTTTTATGTGCAAATGCTTTCTGGTCATAAGACATGCACTGCTTAGTAAGAATTCAATATATGGGGTCACGTCATATTGAATAGGGTAAAATGAGAAAATACTACTCTACAACTTCTTGGTTAATAATGTTTATCGTGTAATGTACAAAATGACAAGTGATTTGATATCTTTTGTTCAGTGTGATTTGCTACTCCGCGGAGTTGCTGTTTTCTAGCTGAATAATCTAATCAAATAATCTTTGATGATTGGCAAGATGTTCCATAGCAATGTTTTCTCATTTACTTCTAAGGATACATGCAGTGTACATGCTATAGTATACAGTGAAACCTATCTGTAACTGAACACCACTGAGATAAGTGTTTATATACATGTTCATGGCCATTAATATTCACATTTCAGCATTTACAGGTGTTCAAATTTTGAGTTGGAACCCTGTGGCTCTTTAAAAATTGGACCAAAAAGTGTTTACATAAAGTAGTTACAGAGGTGTTCAACATTTCTTCACTACTGTATATGATTCATGAAAGATTCACTATGCAACTGTTTTGACTAAGTTCTAAATACATGCTTGTATTTCTTTTTCAGCGTAGACTCCGTCACGTACGAGGCATAGCTGCCAGAAACCTCGACCTAGGACATGTACAGAAGATAACGGGTGAACCAATACCGAATATCAAGAACTTTTTTACACTTCATTTGGATGACAGTTCACCAGGTATGGGATTGCATCGTATATGATTTTTTTTAAATCTGTTTTATTTCATCATGTTTAATTTAAAGTATAATTTAAAAACATATTTACTATTTATTTACAAATTAAATCAATGTAAGCAATGTTGCGTAATTGAATGAGGTTGTAGTCTTGTATATAATATCAATGCATAGTAAACTTTTTTTATTTCAGCTTTTTACACCAGTGAGAGGATTCAAGGATCACAGGTAATTACTTTTAAAGGGGTAGCAAAGAATTAGACGAGTAGGGATTTACTAAAAAGTCCTAAATATTAAAGGAAAAAAGGATCTACCAACCCTATGGGGTTTCTTGATATTTTTGGAAAGCTAAACATCTTAACAACATACTCCATAATGAGAAGTTCTGAAAATGGTCCGGTTGCTACTTTATTTTTCACAAATTCTTCCTCCTCTAAATTGAGTCAGTGTAAAATGTTAGAAGCAATATTTTCAAGAATCTATGCCAACATTTCCTTTTAATACCCATCTAAATCGATTTGTTGATGATCTTAGATGTAAAATGTTCAAATTTGGTCAATTGAGGAAGAGGATATCTGCACTTATCCTACACTTAGTGTACTAAATGTATAATAACATTAAAAAATAAATTTGATATCTATTGGCAAAATGAATAACCGGAGGATATCGTGATGATATACTCCAGGCGGAGGATATCGTGACGATATACTCGGGAAAACCCAATATGCAGAGGATATTGTGACGATATACTCCGCTTGTTGATTTCCCGCCAAATTGACTCTATTTGGCATGAAATTCATTTTGCAATGATATTATACATTTAGTACACTTCTTTTAAGTGTAGGATAATACGAACATCCTATGATTTTTTTTTCAGAATATCATTTTAATCTACTCGGTGATATTGATATATGCACTCGTTCGCTTTGCTCTCTCGTGCAGATATCAATATCACCTCGTAGATAAATATGATATTCCTCAAAATCATAGGATATCCTATAATTATTACCATAAAAATATCATAATATCGCGATTATATTTTATAAAATTATTTTTTCTTTCTTTAACCTCTTAGTTTCTAATCTTTGCTGCCTTCAGCTTGCATTTCTTTATTATCCCACTGAACGAAGTTCGAGGGGGATATAGAAAAGCCGTCCGTCCGTTCTTCCGTTCGTGTGTCCGGGCAATAACTCAAATACCGGTTGACGGATTTCATTCAAATTTTATAGGCTTATGCCTTATGGGTGTAGGACCTCTGCTCGAGAAGGAATTTTCAATATGGCTGCTTAATTCAAAATGGCAGCCATTTTTCGGAAAAAATATAATCTTTAATAACTCAAATACTAGTGGATGGATTTGGTTTAAATTTTATATGCTGTTGCCTTGGTACAAAGGAGCCTTGCTCAAGAAGACATTTTCAAGATGGCCACCAAATTTCAAAATGGTGGCCATTTTTCGTAAAAAACCGTTATCTTTGATAACACAAAGACCATTGAATGGATTTGGTTCAAATCTTAGATGCTGATGCCTAGGGACATAGGAGCTCTGCTCCAGAAAGGATTTTCAAGATTGCAGCTAAATTTCAAAATGGCGGCCATTTTTCGTAAAAAACGTTATCTTTGATTACCCAAATACCATTGAATGGATTTGGTTTAAATTTTAGATGCTGATGCCAAGGGACATAGGAGCTCTGCTCGAGAAGGGATTTTCAAGGTGGTAGCTAAATTTGAAAATGGCCACCAAGAAAGAACGTAACCTTTGATAACTCAAATACCAGTTGACGGATTTGGTTCAAATTCTATATGCTGATGCCTAGAGACAAAGAAGTTCTGCTCAAAAATAAATTTTCGAGATGGCCACTGAATTTCAAAATGGCTACCATTTTTCGTAAAAAAACATAATTAATGATAACTCAAATACTAGTGGATGGATTCGGTTCCAATTTTATATGCTGATGTTTAGGGAAAAAGGAGATCTGCTTCAGAAGAAATTTCAAAGGTGATAGCTGAATTTCAAAATGGCTGCCATTTTTCATTAAAAAAGTAATCTTTGATAACCCAGATTCAATTGGACGGACATTCTCTGCTAAAGAAGTAATCTAAAGATGACAGCTGAATTTCAAAATGGCAACCATGTTTCATAAAGACATAATCTTTGATAATTCAAATACCAGTGGATGAATTTGGCTCAATTTTTTTTATCAAAACATGTTTTGTTAGGTGGGATTTGCTACTCCGTGGAGTTGCTGTTTTTCTAGTTGTGATTAACATTCATATATTATAAAATATGTTTTATCTCTGCCACTTCAAAATCAGCCAATTACCCAAATGCGAGTAGGTAGTTACCAGTTTCACCACCAGGTGGCTGATTCGGGTCAATTAACATGGCAGGTATATAAGAAAGTTCCCTTAAACTTGAATATTATCAATTTAAGTGGCTCAATTTTCATATAACCCTTATGTGCCTGATACTTATACTAATGAAAATATGTCCAGTAAAGCAAAATATTATCTGTCCACTAAAAGAAAAGATATTTCACTTTTTGTGATTTTATAGCATGGGGTCTATGGGGAATCTCCCCGAGCTAGAAGTCACATTTTCAAAGAAAATTAATTTTTCAAAGTTGATAAACACTTTTTAAAACCACATTTCTAGATGTAATTTTACATGTAGATTTCAAATATGATATTACTTTGACTGAATTTTGAATTTTTAATGACGTAAATCAAGATTATTTCTACTCGCATCTGGGTTATTTAGTAGGGATGTCAGGCCAGTAGCCAGGATTTGCCCCCTGGTTATGGGCTTGAATGTACACTTTTTGAAAAATTCCAGGGGGTTCACTTGTGACAATTTTGGTCCAAAAATGGCCAAAATCACTTAAAAAGTGCTCAGAATGGTGAAAAACTGCATGATTTTGAAAGATTTTTCGGCCAGGGGGGGTTTGCTCGAACCCCCCTGGCTACGGGCTTGAATGTTATTAGTATATATCTTCCCATATAAGCAACATTTGGTATATATTTTGTGCACGAAAAAACAAATTCACCGGAATTCATAGAATCTGATTTTTATGCTGTTTTAATTTAATATATAATGAGTTTGTTATTGTTTTTCAGAACCCGACATGGAAAAGTTTGGAACTTGGTCGTCTAAGAGATTCCGTCAACACTTCTGCTTCACGTATCCTTCATTTTTAAGATTTTTTCAAAATGAGTTGAAAATGTCATTTGGAATATTCAACAGATAACATGGTATTATGAAATAAATAGTTTGTAGTTCTGCATGATGCATTTTTGTAAACTTTTTTGTGAAATTGTGAAACAACCTTCAGCATGTTTTCTATTCCATAAGAAATTTAACATTTCTTTCCAAACAAGGTCACATCGATGTCTCTGATGAAATTGAGTAAATATAATACCTCATTGAGTAAATATCATTTCTTATTGAGAAAATATTATTTCTTATTGAGTAAATTCAGTACCTCATTGAGTAAATATTACATCTTATTGAGTAAATATAATACCTCATTAAGTAACTATTATTTCTTATTGAGTAAATTCAGTACCTCATTGAGTAAATATTATATCTTACTGAGTAAATATAATACCTCATTGAGTAAATATATATTAATGAGTAAATATAACACCTCATTGAGTCATATGTATTAATGAGTAAATACAATTATACTTCATTGAGTAATATATATATATAATTAGTAAATATAATACCTGAGTAAATAAATTTCCTATGTAACAAAATATTACTTAGATTTCTTAACTTGACAAAGATTTGATAATAGTAAATTCAGTACCTCATTGAGTAAATAAATTTACCAAAATATTACTTAGATTTCTTAACTTGACGAAGATTTGATAATCAAAGTGTGGAGTGAAGTGAAAGATGTCACCCTACATTTGGTCCTAGAGTGGAAAGTCCACCTATCAGGTCTTGTCTACCTGGGTGATCAGGTAAGACTGTTTTTTGAAAATTGTGTGGGTTTATGTTGTTGACAAGGGACTTTTAACACTGTTTTAAGAATAGTTGATAATTCAGTCAGACTTTTGACACTGTTTTATTTAGTGACATATTTTTATAATCTCCAACTTTTTTGTGGTTGGTGTTTGGTGGTCAGCATCTGTAACAAATGGTGGGTGGTGACATTTTGCATGTTAATGCCTCATTGAAATTTGTCTAGGTAAAATATTGCTGACATAAGACAAAATGTGTTTTTTTAAGAATAATTGTTAATTTTTGTGAGTGTTTAGTTTGAAATGGCTAGCTGGTACTGGACTTATGACATTGTGTAAAGCACTTCTATTTGGTTCAGAATTATAATTCCATGTTTTTGTGGATTTCAAACCTCACATATTCGAATTCTGAAATACAAATCTCTCCAGCATTAAAGCATTTGAATGCTACCCCTTTTGGATGATCTGAAATGCTACAATTACTTGTAAATCTGCCAAATTTAAAATATTGCAATTTACAATATTGTAATTTGCTAGAAAAATACATGGTGCATTTGCAAATAGCATTTGGGCTGTTAAAATGCTTCGCCCATTATTAAATTGTTTTATTGATTTTTGATATTAACTGCATTTCAGCTCCACTCTGAGAGTCAGTCCTATCCTGTTAATAGCCTGGTATTTGGAATGTTTGATGGTTACTATGGTGCTCCTTCTGGAACTGAAGTAAGTTGACTCTGATTGGTCGATGAATTCTCTCAGACCTTAGATTCATGGAAGATCTTCACCATTTGCCTCTTTAAGTTAGGACATGAAGTTATGTTTGAATTGAAAAATGAAATTTTAAGAATGACTAAGTAAGAAATAGAATAAATAAGTTTAAGGTTAAAAGTAATTACTTCGGATAGTATAGGCACTATTGTACTTGTCAGTAGTTCACTAAAATTTTAGAGAAAATATGGAGTTCTGACATCACAAAGTTTCATAATTTTCTCAATAGAATGAACAATTGTTATTAAACATTGTCAAATCATGAATTCTTTTGATCTTTAGGAGCCCGAATTGGACATCTCCCAGTGTAGCCTTGAGGTGGAAAATAATGTCTGCAGGACATCATATAATACTAGTTCACTATCAAGGTATGTATAGTGGATTTGTGTTTTCTCCCATATCCATGCTGCATTCAAAAAACTTCCTAGCATATAGTTTGTGGAAAATTAAAATATATGTGTTTTTGGTACACAATTGAGCCTTTTGAGGGAATTAGAAAAAACAAAGTCTCATCCCATTCTTTCTTCAAAACAATACTAGATTTTACATTTTAAAAATGTGTATGTACATTAAAGCTGGACTACGCTCCGAAACGCAATCTTGGGTTGTTTCGGGGGTGAACTTTATCATTTTGAGCTTAATGAAAGATTATAGAATGATGAACAAATGGGGCAAATCTTGTGTAGAAATACTTACGATAAATGTGTCATTTCAAAGATTTTTCATTGAATTTGCTTCGATCGGTGCCGGCGATATGATTTTGGAAAGGTTTCTAAATGAAGAACGTGACGTCACTTCCGAATCATAACATTCAAAATAAGTAGCGTTTAATTACTTCCTCCTTTCATAATAATACGTTGGTGTAGCGGGTAGAATCCTCGCTGAGCACGCGGGAGGCCCGGGTTCGAATCCCGCATAGTCTTTTTATTTTTTTAACTAAATGATTGTTCTTTGATATTACGCAGAAAAAAACAATTTTTATTTACATAAACTTTATATTAGAGCTTGAAAATGTAAAAACAATATATGTCAACATATTGCGTTTCGGAGCGTAGTCCAGCTTTAAAAGTCCATGTTTTATATTTTGGTTATTTGTATTGCTTCCTTGTGACTGTCCCTATAGGATACATGATGAGGCGGAACAGACGATGGGTTATTTGTAATCATCTATTGCTGGTTAACTGTAAAAGAGATGTGATTTGTGAGTTGAGGGAGAGAGGTGAATTATCATGATGGCAGTGCTCAATTGGTTTACTACTTGGGAGGATCTCTGCTTCCGAAACTAACAACTGTTAGTCAAAGTTTTCTTTATCTGTACATTTTTAAAGCGTAACACGAAATAAAAATGTTTAAAAACAACTTTTATTACTTTTCAGAATTCAGATGGTGCTTCGTGCAATAACTCAAACCCAAGCATCTGTAAAACGTGTTAGATCTAATATAGAAGATAAGCTACTCTTGTCACAAGCTAATGAAGAAAAGGTATGCTTATAATGAAGTGTACAGGTATGCTTATAATGAAGTGTAATAAACAAGTTGTTTCTGTTGCACTTATTCAAAATTGTTACTTAAACCTTAACTTAAAATAGATGTGTTAAAGTTACTTTATGAATCTCAATATTGTCGCATTGGATTAAGCGGCATAATTAACAAAAGTCTGAACAGTTGACTTTTCATAGAGCCTTTAACCTTCTTGGTGTTAACATTCTAAATATTCATTCGTTCTAGACAGCAAATCGGGAGCTGTACTTGCTAAAAGTTCACCAGCTACGATCAGACCTAGAATGGCGAACGATGCATTTACAAAGTCTAAAAGAGCAATACGAGCAGAGGCAATCAACCAATCATCAACGAGACGTAGCAGTACGAAATAAAAATGAAAGTCTTCAAAGAGATAAAGACAGATTGCACGATAAGAAAAAAGCATATTTTGATACAAGGTGAGAGTAAGAAAAAAGTGTATGTATTTTGATATAACGTGAGAAAAAGCATATTTTGATACAAGGTGAGATAGTGAAATAAGTGTGTTTTGATACAAGGTGGGATTGTGAAATAAGTGTGTTTTGATGCAAGGTGAGATTGTGAAATAAGTGTGTTTTGATACAAGGTGGGATTGTGAAATAAGTGTGTTTTGATGCAAGGTGAGATTGTGAAATAAGTGTACTTTTGATACATGGTGAGATTGTGAAATAAGTGTGTTTTGATACAAGGTGAGAATTAAGTGTACTTTTGATACCTTAGGTCAGATTGTGGAATAAGCATATTTCTGATTCAATGAGAGATTAACAAAAAAGCATATGGTGAGAGAAAGAAAAAAGTGTATTTTTATGCAAGATGTGAAACAAAAAACTATGTTTTCCCTCAAGGCAAGACTGTAATTCCATTTTATACTGAGGGTTTAAGTTATTTAAGTTATTTTTGTCAGCTTGACAATATCTTGCCTTGTGAGAATGAGAGAGAAAATGCACTTTTGAAGTGTATTTTGACATAAAAGAGGAAGTTAATTCTGAGAGGACAGTCAGAATATCCCAATTACATCTTCACAAACATTTTTAAAAAACTATACATGTAAAAGAGAATTACGCGAAACAAAAAATATACATGTACGAGGCCCGATCAGAAAGTAAGTAAAACAAAAAAATGAAAATTACATGAAACTAAATTATATTTTGGACCTTCTCTGATTTCATTGAGACATTGATTAAATGTATTTTACCATTTTCCTGTTTTTTGATTTGGATGAAATTCAGGAATCTTAATGGAGATATGAATCTGTTAATTTCAGGGAATCGTTTCTGAAATCGAACGCCCAGTTAGCAGTAAGAAGAAAACAGCTTGTTTCTGAATTAGCCTTCATATATCCCATAATCGAGACACCCAATGTTGGATACACTATATGTGGTGTAAAATTGCCTCATTCTGAAAACTTCGCAGGTAAGCTAGTTTTGGGGTTTTATAATATAAGATCATGATTAAGTCAGATTAGATAGTCAGATTTTTATAGTATCTTTATATCTTTAAAAGTTGTTTTTTAGATCCCCTTTATATGATGCACAGAGTGTCTAGATACCCCATATGGGATGCCATAGAACACAGGGTTTCTAGATGCCCCAATATGTAATACCATAGAGCACAGGGTTTCTAGATACCCCATTATAATGCCATAGAACACAGTCTTTTTAAAGTTCTTTTTGCATTACTTTAGGTCAAGATGAAATGATGGTGTCAGTAGCTCTTGGTTATTCAGCACACATGGTCCAGATGATAGCTGAATTTATAGATACCCCACTACACTATGCCATAGAACACAGGGTTTCTAGATACCCCATTATGATGCCATAGAACACAGTCTTTTTATAGTTCTTTTTGCATTGCTTTAGGTCAAGATGAAATGATGGTGTCAGTAGCTCTTGGTTATTCAGCACACATGGTCCAGATGATAGCAGAATTTATAGATACCCCACTACGCTATGCCATAGAACACAGGGTTTCTAGATCTCGGATAAGGGACCATATTATAGATAAATTACTTGATAAAGATAGAGAGTAAGTACTGTAATCTTGTTAATTTTTGTGAGCTACTAAATTTTGTTTTTTGTATTTTTACAAAATGTATAGTAAAGCAATCTTAGAACAGCCCCATTGGCACCACAAAAGTTGTTGTGGGAGGTGTTGGAAGTTCCAAATATGTTGGTAGACAGTTTCGATATACTTTCAATCTACACCAAGTGGATTTTTGCCTCATAGATGTTGTCATCAAATTCCAGGAAATTCACTTATTCAACTTGAAATCTTTACAGATGGGGGGTCAGATTTTTGTACAGAGGGGTGTTGCTGAGACTCAAAATATCTACCCACATCTAGGCATTTTTTCTCTAAAAGTGGACCCGCATCTAGGATTTTTCTTTCAAAAATAGACCCACTTCAAGGTAATTTTTGAAAAACAAGACCCACTTCCGGCGATTTTTTTCAAAAACAGTACCCAGTTTTAGGATTTTTCAAAAAGTAAACCCAGTTCTAGGGATTTTTTTATCAAAATGGGACCCATATCTAGGGTTTCTTCTTCAAAATTTGACCCACATCTCAGGATTTTTTTGGGAAAAATGACTCACTTTAACAGTTGTTTTACTTTTCAGTTTTCCCCTGTACAGTAAAGGCAAAGACAAGTTTCAGTTTAACTATGGTGTTTTCCTACTCAACAAGGACATTGCCCAGTTACGTTATGCATGTGGTCTCTCCACACCTGACCTTAGGACAACATTACCAAATATTAAGAGCCTATTAGAATATAGACTTGGAGTAAAATTGTAAGTGAACAAAATTAAGAAGTTGAAAAATTGCCAATTTATTAGTGTACAAAATGGTGTGTGGTAAAATTATTGAGAATTTGAAAATTAATTTGCACCTGG